CAGAAATACAATTCTGCGGAAATATGAATTCCACATTCAGTGGTAAATTCGAAAACGTAGTCAAGATTGCAGCCTGTGTGATGAAAACGTGCTTTTCAATTTGCGAATATCAAGTTTCAAATGTCTTGTCGGACTGTGTCGGAGTGTCGGAGGATTCATGACACCGCATCTGGACAGAGCAATTAGTCCAAAGAACCCCCATGGGACGAAGAGACGAACACAATGACTTTTAAGGTCATCGGAGGTCAAGGTCAAAGTCACGAACCTACTTAAGTTGTGACATTGCCCGTCCTCCACCATTTATTGAATCTAGTTATCAACTACAAGCGGTTGATGTGAATAAGATGACCAACACCACTGAAAATGGGTAATTTTACTGTGACCAAATTACTATGTGACAGTATTACTGTGACCAAATTACCGTGTGACTTTTTTACTGTGACCACATTACCGTGTGACCTTATTACTGTGACCAAATTACCATGTGACCTTTTTACTGTGACCAAAATACCATGTGACCTTTTTACTGTGACCAAATTACCGTGTGACCCTTTTACTGTGACCGAATTACCGTGTGACCTTATTAATGTGACCAAATTACCATGTGACCGTATTACTGTGACCAAATTACCTTGTGACTTTTTTACTGTGACCAAATTACCGTGTGAACATTTTACTGTGACCAAATTACCGTGTGACCTTATTACTGTGACCAAATTACCGTGTGACCTTTCTACTGTGACCAAATTTCCGATGACCGATTTACCTGTGACCTAATTACCTATATTCCCGACCCCAAGGCGCCAGATGAAATTGCAGGGGGTAACAAATTTCCCGGGAAAAGACCCCCAACCCACTCATTTAGTAGAGAAGCTGGTCATTCTTTGGCGTGGTGGCAATCAAGACAAATTGTTCTGAAAACGTTTATAGATCGTCACTAATGGTTGGACAACATTTTACAACGTTTATTGTTCACTGGGTCCTAACTAATCACAGACTCAAACTGCAAAAATATTTGCTCAAATGTAGGGCGAAGCATTGTGATTGTCCACTTTATCCCTCCCCTATGGTTCGCAAACCATCGCAAAGCCCAGTGGGACTGAGACATAAAGGGACTAATTCGCCATTTTCGGAGGCTGATTTTGGCCTTGAATATATGTTAATAGTCTTAAAAAGAACTAGAAAATTACGAAATTGTCAGAAATACCACAAACTAGGCATTTTACTTTCTATTTCTATTTATGTCTTTTCTATATGGCAGTGTATCTAGAAAAGACAAGTCGTCTTTATAACTGTCAATAATTCCTGGCGCACATGGATTTTATTACTTCGTGTCTTTCCAATATATTTTTTCACAATTCCATGTAACCTATGAATAGTAAACAATTCCTTTAAATATGCTCACCTGCTGGTCGTTGCTTTTCTTTACAAAAACTTTGGAACTCTCCCATTTTTTTTTACATTTGTAACATTCAAAGTAGCCATATCTTCGAACCAAAGCAGAATTTTGCCTTCTTCTCATGTTTCTTCGGATCATTTCTATGTCTCAAGTCTTCTGTGTGGTTTCCAGCTACACGTAATATATTTAATTTAGCTCCCTAATACACACTATATATAAACCAGTTTGACTGGTTTGATTGCATTTCAATTCAATGTAATCAATATTCTTTGTATTCCCCCCTCACAAATATAACACATGTTGCTATTGGCTACAGACAAACACCGCGCGTTTATTCAATCACATAAATCACCAACTATATACAAATCTATTACAGAATAACATATATTCTATCTTAATAAACATATATAATCATATATACAGCACTAATATCATCAGGGACTCCTTTGATCATTGAATCTCAATGCCACCCAGGAAAAACTGACTCAGAAACCTGTGCTCATACGTAATGCAAAGATACCCTACAAAGTTTGCGTTGAGCGAACGTCTATATATCTATAAATATCAATCCCACACAGAAGTAATGCTGAACATTAAATACATGTATACACACTATAATAACAACACTTATATCATCGTCAATTTAAATCTAATTCAAACCTTTACTCGTTGCATTTTATACCCTTGTTTGTATGTATATACTATTTAAATACAAGCCCAAATTAGGTACTCAAACACCCCGAACCTCATACATGAACCTACATGTCAAGTAATACACTCAAAAAAGCATCTCAAAGCATTTAGAACGCAGGCACCCAGTACCTCTTAACAGTGCAAATACACATCAAAAAATGCACTCCGTGGCCTTTCTTAGCCTTTTAGAACGCAGACACCCAGTGCCTCTTAACAGTGCAAATATACATCAAAAAATGCACTCCGTGGCCTTTCTTAGCCTTTCAGAACGCAGGCACCCAGTACCTCTTAACAGTGCAAATATACATCAAAAAATGCACTCCGTGGCCTTTCTTAGCCTTTCAAAACGCAGGTACCCAGTACCTCTTAACAGTGCAAATATACACCACAAAATGCACTCCTTGGCCTCTCTTAGCCTTTTAGAAATCCGGTACCCAGTAGCTCAAATAGTGCAACTACAAGTCAAATAATGCACTCCTTGGCATCTCAAGGCCTTTAAAAAATGCAGGTACCCAGTACCTAATTACAGTGAAAATACACAAAAAAAAATGCATCCCTTGGCATCTAATATATAGCCTTTTAAAAAAATTGAATTGCTTTTATCACAAATAAAGGTACAACGTACAGTGTATGCTTGTCTTAGCGCGAATGAATTCATCAACATACATTCAACCTTTATACTGAACATGATTACATCTGACCACTTTACTCACTGTTAATTTGTTCACATGACAAAGAAAATATTTCACTCTTAATTCGTTCAACTCAAACAGAGTAAAATACATATATTAACGGGAATTCCCATATACCAAACTATTTATAGACGTAATAATTATGGAAGGCGGAATGACTTTTAATTCAATTTTCTTCATTGCTATTTTAATTCTAAATTCTTATCTCTTAATTTGCACGTTTAATTCAACATTTGTCATTGAAAATATTAATTTGTATACAAAAATCTTAATTTGTACTGAAAATGAACATTCTTCGATAAACAGTAGGTTTTCAAATTATTGAATTAATAGAATTCTTGCCAAAAATACCCTCAAATACAAATCTACAAATACAGATCTAGCTCAAAATATCTTCAAATGCAAAACGTAAAACACAAAACTCTACCAACAAATGTTCAAATACAAATGTTCAATAACAAATCTTAGGTTAAACGTGCAAATTAAGAGATAAGAATTTAGAATTAAGAAATAGCAATGAAGAACATTGAATAAAAAGCCATTCCGCCTTCCATAGATAATAGGCGGCCCCTTTTCTGGATTAATTGCTATTAATTCTTGGTATATTACAAAGTAATTGCGCACACCTTTATGCTTTCGTTTAAATTGAAGTTGCACTGCATGCCACAATAGTCAAACACCTTATTATGTAGGAATATAAAAGAAATATGCTAGAAACAGTGTTGGTAATAATATTAATAATAATGAATTGAAATTATTTACTTAGTTATTAGGATTTATACATAAACAAACACACAATTTTATGAAACGAATAATGTTTGATGTCTTATTTCAAATCTGGTTATCTGAACGTATTACTTACTGAAAAGGTTTTGACTCATAGGCTGAATACAATGAACAGTGTAGCAGAAAATGGGTTTTTGTATTTGATGTGACCATTATTACACATCAAACTATCATGTCTTTCATAAAGGTTTAAGCCCGACATAGTTTCCTATACGATCTCTACTCGCAACGGAAGGATACATCCAGAGATGTTGTCTGGGCAAAAAAACAAATCAATGAATGACTCTAAATCTTCTTACGGCATTAATATAGTAACCTATACGAGATCAGAGTTGGAAAAAGCGACTTTAGCAGACTTGGTGGCTAAAAGCTTTGATGACACGATTTGTGACAAACACCACTACCCTAAAATTAATAAATTGAAAAAATAACTTCGCAGTGGACCAGTCAAATGTGTTGACCCACATGGATGAAAACGATCCGCTGAATGTCTCTTTAACATCTGTTGAAAGCTCTTTTGGTCAAATAAGAAAAAAAAGACAATGCAGCGGATAAGGGTGCAGTCAAGTACATGATGCTGATGAAATTGCATACCAAAGCTTCGAATAACACCTGTCAAACAAATGCGATGGGTTCTGATAACAGCTCTTCTATACCAACCTTCGAATAAGGATGCAATATTCGGATCTCTTTGCAAGGTAGGCAAATCATTGGGGATTCAGAATATCAAAAACGGTTGGAATGTCGCTCTGAAAAAGACATGTGGCTAATATTGGAAGGCGAACGTATTCAATTCGTTAGTGAATTCGTTAGCGTAACCTTCGATAGAAACATTTTATTGGAACCTCACATCAAAAACATCACACATAGATGCCACGATTTGTTGAACTTTGAGTAGCATACTATCTGTCAATGCATATAGCGTCAATGTAGTCCATCGTGGACTGCGGTTTCTATGCATACATGACCGATAGATCAATGCTACTTCAGAATAAAAAAAAATCCGGACAAGCAAGATAATTCGTTAAAGGGGCATTCTGCTTCAATTTCAACATGTAAATTGGGCTTAATGCTTATTTGCATGATATTATATGTATGTCCTTTGTATAGTTTCTTTACGTTGACCTGGCGTTTTAACATGAAATTTTAGAATTGCTGAGTTAAAAAATACATAACCATTTTTGGCACATAATACAAGAGTCATATCATTGTTCTAACATTCATTGTGGTAAAACAATGCTCTTTGCATGTCATCCTCAAAACACTTTCCTTTTATAAGGAATCTAGCTCAGTGGATTATATAACTCTTAATCTTTAGACCATTTATACATTATCAACCATGCAATCTGGCTTTTTCGAGAAGGTTTTCTATCCGTCTACTGAATATATTGTTCGTCTTTAAATTAACTACATAAATGCCTCACATATTTTTAATATGTTAACTTTAGCCTGTGAAAATCTAATAGCAGTGGTCTTTGGGAAGTATTGGTCTTTTCTCTATGAAATGTCATTTTGGAACCATATAAAATTTCATGTGGTATAAACGTCTTATTCTGGTATAACAATGTACGCCTTTCTATAGGGGTATCATCAGTACTCTCTCCATCGCTTGCTGTGGGGACTGTCCAGTCACCTATTATTGCTGTATCAAGATATAACGCTGGGACCAGAAAGGGATTGCCGTACCTTCGCAAATCCATCTTTCGTTTATAGTCATCTAAACGGTCATCAAATTCGTTCAAACTGATGCTGAGTTGTTTAATGTTACGGATCCTTCTAAAATGTTGCTTCTGGTCACAAGATAATCCTCGAGGACAAACAACTGCTCGTTGGGACGAAGAGTTTTCACGGTAAAAGTCTCGAATATCACCTAATTCTAGATCTAGTTTAGTGATTATATGCTTTAATTCACTCTGTAGTCTTGTATTCTGTTTTTCTAAAATCATTTGTTGTGTTTTGTTTTTGTATATCGCTAAGTCCATAGCTCTTGTATCTCTAACTGCTGTCATTCCAAACATAGGATCCATTATATTACATTTGGAAATTTGCGATGAATAGAAATAAACACCTTGTTAAAAGGTTAAACCATGAACAGTGCGTTCTGAAAATGAAAATTTCGTACCCGGTAAATGCTTAACTATTAGAGTGCTAGAGTCTTGTGAAATTTGCAATGCGATATATACTTCATTTTCTATAAAAATACTCATTTCACTTTTCTCTACTTTTAAAAAGTCAACCTACTTGTTCAATGTAGAACCGAATGACTGTTAAACGCTCCAAGCATTTTCATTAATAAACTTTCAATTTCAGTTTTTACTTCAACCATTTGGCGATGATCATAACTCGGTTTTAACACTCATAAAGAAAAAGGAAGATATGTTATTCTTACCTTATACTAGTTCGATCAGTTTGAAATACTGTATTTTGTATGCAATGTTTTGTTATATCTTTGTGTTAAATAGCAGTATTTTATCACTTTCAACGGTCATGATGTGAATTCTGATAAGGCAGTTATCGATAGTCTCAGGTACATTTATGTGATAGTAGAGTGCTGGGTATCATTAACGATTTCTTCCCTTAGCCAATAAAGCTGCCAGTCATTCTGTGAGTTCTTTATTACGATTAGATTAGTTTATGAATTTAAAGGACAAAATTATACTATCTGCAAGAACACTTATCTAGAATTCAAACAATGTGTCCATGTGATCAAATCTAGCTTGCAACGTTATAAAATAACAACATGCGTATAACTCATTTATGTATAGTAAGCAAAATTTATCATAAAAGTAATAATTTACGTTAGATGTTAAACGTACGAGTAAAGGGATCACAGACTTATACAAATGGATACAATACAAAAAGGAAAATTTTCCTTTGGAGGAACAATATTACGATTCCACGGACGACTAATGAAATTCCCAAACTCCAATACAATGCTAAAGGGAAGATGAAACGCATCGCTCGAACTCAACTTGAGCATTTCAGTGACGGGAGTTTAACCAATTAAACACCCTCTCTCATTTGTATTAAACTTTAAAACATATAGATGAGGTGTTTACCAGCAAAGGGGTTTAACTCGTGCCTACAAACTTAGTCGGCAGCCAGACTATCTATTTGTCTATTGAAAGGTTGGGCTTGGGATATTATAATTATTTTCCTAGGGATTAAATTTATAACAAAATAGTAAGTTTAAAATATCATATTGCATGGATTCTATGAGATATAAAATCATACCAGGGGATGACGTCACTATAAAGTACAGTAAAAAAAAGGGGATAGGTAGCAAGCGTATATATACATACAGAACAATATGCTAGTTTGTGATTAGTAGCAAGTAATAACTAACAATAAATCTTTTTAAATACCTTTTAATTGTTGAAATCAATCTGGTGAAAGGTCACAGTATATATATATATATATACGTATTATGTAAATACAGTTTTTTAAAATGAATAACTCAATTGACGGTAATCAATCAGTACTTTCTAAGATTATCCAGTTCAAGTCCATCACGTTTATGATTTTTGAATTTATTATAGAAGCAGATTGCACAAATACCAAGTATTAATCCCACAGCCAACATACCTACACCCAAACCAACCAGGGTTCCTGAAATAGGTGATGACAGTTCATTACAGTCAATGATTTGTCTCATCTCCGGATTAGACTTAAATTATGAGGTCCTGGAACACCTACGATTTTGACTAAAGATTCAAATCCGAAAACGAAGGCTGGTGAAAACAATAAGTGAATATGGTGCTAGTACATGTAATAATTATGTTCTTCTAATAGTCAGATCAACTCAAGGTCATCCTAAATCAACTTTTCTAATTTAATCTTGTTGATTATATTAAAAAATGAAAAAATCTGTATTACCTGTATTTTTTGATGGTTCTTTAGTGGGATAGATATGAATAATTTTATTAGTTACTTCACTTCCACCTATAAGGGAAACATTCATTTATCCGTCTTGTTCCACGAAAGGGCGTGTCAATACGCTATGTAAAGAAAATCAAACATATAGCAACTGTGTTCCACTGAAAATTAACTACTTTTGACTCTCAGGCACAGAAAAATGCAGACCTCCATATACAAGTATATCTTAACCATGATCTCTCGCCAATATGAAATGTAATTGACATCGTTTTGCTCGTTTTGTGAATTATGTCCCCTTACCGTACCATCTTGAATAATGGTCACAATCTGCACTGTCCACCAACAAATTACTATCAGTTATGTTTTCAGAGCTGAGAGAGCACAGTTTCTTTCCAGCACAAATATCAAAACTATAGCACCGGAAGTCTTCTTCGTCTGAGCTTTCACATTCAGCTGCACAGGTTATAACGTCAGATATACTCATATATGTCAATGTACTGTATGGATTGTATTTGCCAGACATTCGCCTATATTTTCCTACAAAAACAAGGGTTAAAAACAACTCTTAACTTGAATTCAATCAACAAATATTAAGAAAATACGAATAGTAGATAGTCTGGTTAATGATTCCGTTAGACTTACCTAAAACTTTTCTGTCTGGAAGTTTGTGTGTCTTCAAATTTGGCTCTGAAATAGATTTGACAGTGTTGGATAATTGGACGGTTAACTCAACCACTACACATAGTAAAATGTTCTGATCTTTTTGCCAAAATTTAATAAAAAACAACAACAAATACTTATGAAACGTTTTGTCGTTACCTTTTCTAACATAGTGATCACACCCAACACTGTCAGTCAATAGATCAGGATTAGTTATATTTTCTGGACTAAGCGAACACAGTTTCTGACCAGAACAAATGTCAAAACTAAAACACCGAAAGTCTTCTTCATCATCGCTTTCACATTCTGCAGCGCAAGTAGTGGCGTCTGAGATGGTCATATATGTCAATGCACTATAGAGACTTGCCATTCCCGGTATCTTTATATAACCTGCTGAAATAAACAATGTGAACGTCGACATTCTATAATGAAAAATAATACGTTTGAAATCGATAAGAAATCAAATTTTTAAAAATTGACTCTTTTGTGATGAAGATACAGCGATTCCTCACAAGATATTGACTTACAGAAGGCTGGTATACACGGAAAATAACGAAACTGTTTGAAGTATTGTGTCTTTCAACTTACTTAAAATATCTGATGTTGGAGTTGTTGGTACAGTCGTTGACGATGATCCTTTGGTATTTGTTTCATCTGAAGAGACAGATGCAGAAGGGATGGGGGATTGAGATGTGGACGGAGTATGCACAGTAGTAGAAGAAGATGAAAAATGTTTGATGGTTCCTGTAGATTTTGGTGAGAAAGTTGTTGAGAAAGCGGTGGCCGTACTTTGATGCAATGATGTGGTTTGAGTTATCTCTTTTTGCGGATTAGAAACAGTATAGGATTTAAGAGATATGAGAGCTGTCAAATGGTGTGCGCTTTGAGAAGTGGAAGAAGAAGATGTTGTTAGGCGTGTTGTAGAAGGTTTGAATTTTTGAGATTGTACTGTGGTGGAAAAGTTGGTGTTAATGGCAGCGAGGCTGTTTTGGAACACCACCAAAAGTATAATCACCACCTTGAAAGAACATTTTTATAATATTACTATTTTAATAACACCAGGTAGTAAGACACAGTTTGCATCATTTGGATGGATCAACATCATAACATCAACAAGTATGAATTTCTAGTTTGTATAGACCACACAAACTTTGATGGTACCACAATATCAAGCTTTTAGTCTTTTTAGGTTTTGATAACCGTTAATTTGTATTAAATTGATAGGATCTATTGAAAGTTGCTATTGCAGTCAAGATATGAAAGTTCGTAAAAGTTTGACATTATGAAGATATAATGGTACACCAACCCAGCAAATATATTTACTTTAAGAGTTATGATCATCAAAATCTAAAAAGACTAAACTAAAAGTTCAGAATAGACCGTCTTTCCTAATTATTTACATTTTATTACAATGTGCTACCGTGGTTTTAAGATTTGGGTTTCAAATTGTGAAAATGGCTAAAAAAACCAAAACAATTAAATGTAAATGCTCTGTAAAACAGATCTTTTGAACTAATTTGGTTTCATTTAGGTTACGGTATGGTGAAATAATAGATTGTACAAAAACAGACAAAAACTCACCTTCATTTTAATGGAGGTGATCACGTTTTCCTCCCAATAGATATGTAATTCAGCGTGATAAAAATTTGTATGAAGGGGTGTATTCGGTATTATCTTTTTAAGATACATAAACGTATAGTGTATGAGATAGCTACAGATACATAGTACAACCATGATACGAGAATTTTATCTTATTTAACGGATATCACAGATTTGAACTGATACAATTGATAAAAATTTCATTTTTTTCAAGGATTATGTTGATCTTGTGGAAAGTGAAATGAATAATTGCCTAGATCTATACCTAAATAAACTTGTCACGAAAATCAATTTAAAACGGATTGCCTGCAATTAGTCTTTTCATCATCTCTGACAATCCCAATTAAAAACATTACAAAGCCGTCTTCCGTTCAATAAACGCGCTTTTTAAAGTTAAGGTTTTCCAAATTTATAGAAAATGGAAAGATTTTTTAATATTTAGTTATTATTTGAATGGTGATAATCGTGACAAATTAATGATCATATTTTTGCAGATAAATAGGGACAGTTTTTATCAAAATTTATCAGCTATTATCAGACGGTAGATAACTACACTCCAATATCTGCAGTCATCTAATTAGTCAAGATGGCTGGATCACCAAAACGCCTACCAATCTATTCTATTTTACAGGTAAGCAGCTTTATATTATGAAATTTTCTGTCATAATATTAGAAAGTTAAAGTTACTTGTAATCTTCAAATTTCGTATACATAGCTTATAGCTTCGTATACATTAAAGACCTTACTATTGACCTTCATCAGTGAAAGTCATTTTCTACCTTGTATCCTGATACATTCTATTATATTCTGATATTCTCACTGTACCGCACTAATACCAATCATTCTACAGGTAAAGCATGCCTCATACCTAATGACCTATTGCAGATCAGCAATATAATTCTGTACACATAAACAAAATTTAACATCATGAAGCGCTTTGGGTAAGATTTTTCGTTTATTTTATGGCATTACGGTATTATTATCATGTATTATTTTCATTGTAGATATACTTGGTTTCAATCCTGTGTCTACAATATGTTGTGGCAGATGATTATTGCAAAGCTACGCCGAATGCAACTCCAGGACCACAAGGTACGTCGTATTTTCAACAATGTATCCGTTTATTCCTCTATTATTCATTTCAGGGCCAAATTAGAAAAATTTTGCTTTATATTATGTAAATATACATTTTATGTTTTAGATCCACCATTACCAACTCTACCCAAATCGTTTCAAACTCGAATAGAAGCTAATATAATTGATCGACATTACACCATGGCAGCCGTGGAATATGTCGATGATGATAACAACAGAGCGGCTCTTAAAATGTGGAAAAATGGGGTCGAAACCGATGTCTTCTTCGATTATGATAACAATCAACTGTTTTCAATCGTTGGTAAGACTTTGCTATCATATAATTTGTACTGTTCAGAGGTGGCGTTATATGCTAAAGCTAATAAATGATGTAAAGGAACTTGATAAATTTCTTACTTCCGCTATCACTTACAAAGAATAGCCAAACAAAGCCAAAAGGGTCCACTCTGATTTCATAATATACAGTCGTTTAGGCTCAACTTTATGCGTGTATTATGTATTTGTATTCTATTTTCAACAGACAATATGTGTGTAGTTACCAATTTAAGTAGTGATCCTAATACAGTGATATTTGGAGGTGGAGACACTCCACCTGGTGGTATACCCCATGTCTATACAACTGCTGGGGTACTTCATTTTGCTAAACAATTCGGCGAGGTATGTGATTTTTTCATTTTTTCTTGTATGTTGATATATTATTAAATTCAGATCACAAAAGAACGGAGTTGTTGAATTTTGAAGACCATATAAATGTTCATTTATGTGGCTGACATTGTAATGAAATTTACCGGAACCTAACGGTTTTAGTTGAAAGATTTGCCAGTTTTTGACGCTTGTTAATATTAATTGGATTGATAACTAAAGTACCTATCTCTGTTATAAGCTTGTTTTGTAGCTTTTAATGTATGTAAGGATATTGACATACATTTTTTTTTTATCTAATTCTTCAAAGGTATATCAAGGAAAGGCTACTATAAGAGGTCAACAGGCTAATCAATGGCGCTCCTGTTTATTTTGGCCTAATGTGAATGCTAACTTTACAGTGGATTACTACTTTTCTGGTAATAGATACATGTAATGATATTTGTTTTCAAATTATCAAGATAAGTTTAAAAGCTTACAATTTTAAAGGTTAAATGATTAAAGGTTTCATTCTTTGAACACTTCTTCTGACGCTAACTTTCAGTTAGAATAATTTACATTGAACTAACTAGGATCACCACTAAATTCTTACAGATTGATCTTTCAATTATTTTTACATCCTCTCATTTGATTTAGATCCATCATGGAACACTTCATCAACAATGACTGCCGTGCCATTGAGAGCTGACGTTAATGGTGTTTATGTGATAGCCCAAATTGAACCCGTGTCATTTCATCACGTATATGATTTTATTGATTTTAGACCAACTGTACCTGATGACCCAAGTTTATTTGAGGTAAATAGTCAATAACTTACGAAAGAAAAACTCGTAGTCAATTGTTGATCTTTCAGACTTGACAGAAGAAAATTAAAAGAGCACTACTACTTAAATGTGGCTAAAAGATGACGATTTAATTATTACTTGAAATATACCTGTCTGGTTTTTGCATCCATATGTGGCTTTTATGATTTGCCATGATTGTAATCTCAGTGGGATCGAACCCGTATTTAATTTTCTATTGTAGACACCTCCTGGGGTATCATGTGGGGGTCGTAAGAAAGTTCGTGATATGCCTAAATTAAAGAATAGTTATTATTATCGAGAAGAAATTATTTCTGAAGACAGTCAGTCAATCACACAAGCAGATGTAAGTTATACAAATAGGCATGTGGTCGATTTGGCTATTTCCTGTAGTTTAATAATATAAAGCTGAATCTACCTTGGTATTGAATGCAAGATTTCGTTGTGTATTCTTACACTGACCTCTTTACTTCAGACATGTTACACTGGTTTGTGGTCTTTAACAACCAGTCTGTGGTATTCGAATATACTAGAATCACTGATCGGGGATGACAAGTTGGGTATAGTTCTGGCAAACAATGGCGGCCATTTAATACAATGATATGTTGCAGAGGGCCATCGGAACTCTCACGGTAGACAGTTTGGATTTGATAGTGAAATTTTCTTCAGATTATTTCCCTTTCTTTTACGTTTAATTTTTGGATACTGTAAGTATCTTTTATATCTTAGGTATGGTATAACTATGATTGGAAATTGGTCAGATATGATAAAAGAGCTCAGATAGCTCAGGCACCATATTGGAATTTGAACCCTATAACTGAAATACATGACTATAATACAGGTAAGTAAAACATGAACACATAACGGTTCAATCGATCTGTCTTAGTTACCAGATTTGGGGTATATCTGCAAATTCATAATAAAACATGTTAACAGGGGCCTGTTACTAAAGAGTAAGTGGGATCGTCGTTCCTAGTTAACATAAACCAGTTGATTTCTTAATAACATCTCCAGTTTACTTAATATCTTCTATCCACAGGTGTGGCCTATGCTATGGATAACGTGATAAAGAACTGCACTATAATGCCCATTGAGAATGCCACATGGGATTCAACATTTAACGGATCAACAAATTATATATATTTGAGAAATCCACAATCCTTATTCTTCTTGGACAGTTCTTATTCTTATTCTGGGCAGGTGAGCTAACAGATTGTATTCAAAAGAATGAAAACAGCAAAATAAAATGTTGATTGTTTTTTTTATTGACTAACCCGTCACATAGAAGCGTATTTTGTTCCTTGTTTCCATTGATATATTTCACAATAATTATTGTAGTAGAGCTTAAACTAAATAATGATTTTAGATCTTTAAACATATTTCAACCAAGATTTACATCTTTTTATTCTAGAGAAAAGCACGTGGAATTGATTGTGATGTATTTACTTCTACTCGAACAGATTTTGACAATTCACCAACAGTATTTGAGATGTACTTTTTATCGGTAATTCACTTTCTGTCACTTTACTATTAATTGGTTCTGGAAACAATTTGTCCAATATGCAGCTGTATGGCGTTGACTTTGTACTCAAAATATATTCTCTTCCAGTTTAGAAACGACAAAACAAATCCACATGCTGATCTAATCGTAACATTCTCGCACACTTAAAAATCTTGACCAGTACAGTACGTTGTATTTTCCTGTACAAATAAACGAAGATTGTAAATTGTACACAACCATCTTCTCAATCACGAAAGCGATTTGATTGGATTGTACGATAGCGAATACAATAAATCAGAGGCCTCGACAGAAAGTTTATGAACACCAAGCCATAATATTTACAGCCTTTCTGTCGAGAGCTCAGATTGACTGTATTCGCTAGAGTACAATCCCTGAACAAGTTCTTAATAGCTAGACACGGTAAGGTGTTGCGATTACAACTTACGGTAACGAAAGAAACAGCACAAATTATCTTTAGTTAGTTTTATGTCATTTATTCATTGTATATGATTTCAGGACACCTGGTATGCCAGTGACAATAAAGGTTTGGATCAAACGACAATAGATATACCAATACGACTTACTGTCACCGCAGCCAATGATGAGGTAATCATTCAATTATTAAATCAGGGCCCCTAACAAAAAATAAATATATACTGTGTGAAACTTTAATTTGTAATACTGCAACTTTTTATCGTTTCATCTTGTAAAAATGAAGCAATATTTTGGGCGTTTTGTGAGAAAGGTGTCTACGAAGTACTATGAACACAACATGTGAGTACGGGCAATACTCTCTCGTTTGAATAAGGTTGTTTTGATTAAAATTACCAAACGACTCATACGAAGCTATGTAGAGAAAATGAACTATGGTCCTATCTATCCACCGATGGACAACATGGTTTAATTGATGATTGTCCCTTTTCAGGCGTATCCTACTATTTATGAATTGTATGATTTTGATCAAGAAATTCCAGATATTCAAACAGCTTACGATGTTTCTAGATGTTATTCAGATATGGATAAGATAGATTTTAGAATAACGTTTCCAAGTGAGTACATATATATTATAATTGTAAGAACGTAATTGCACAACGTTTTAATTTTACAATCATATTTGGCTGATGAACTGTTTAGATCGACGACTGGTTTCAACTACAAAATTTGAAAATAGTTCAACTTCGAGATTGAATGGTAGCATTCTTACTTTATTGATACCTTTTAGCGATTGAATGGAACCTGTAAATGATGGCTTGTATTTTGCAGCTACTGCAGGAGAACTACTGAATGAATTTAGAGCAATATTTATAGATAAGTCTATACAGTTAATATCATCACTAGCGGGTACCCTGTCACTGGTCAGAATAACTAAAGCCGAAGTACATTGGAATGATAATAATGTATATTTGATAGCTACGTTATTGGATAAAGCACCACCAATAGGTAATGTCTTTGTTTGAATCTGATTCAGAACAAGATCAAATCGTGAAAATTGAAGTGGCCTGTAGTTTTTCTTATATTGACAGTTGATGTCATTTATAATTAATGCCACGGATCAGCAATTAATCAGAAACTAACTTTGACCAAAAGTAAGTAGAAATAGAAAAGTTGCTGCCGTTAAAGACTTCTCATGACATATTTATCTGCGTGTGTTGATTTCCTATTCAAACGGTCTTATAACTTGGTGTTTTGCGTGTAACTTTGTGTTTTCTTTTGTAGCTAAATTCCGAAAACAAGCTGGTAAAATCTATCAGTATAAAAACGCCATGCAATTACAAGGGGTACAAGATCCCGCCTCTTGTGCTGAACAGTGTGATTCGTCAGACCAGTTCACTTGTAATAGTTTTGACATTTGTGCTGGAAAACAAATCTGTAGTTTAAGTCAAGATTATGCTTCTGATGGATCTAAACTGGGTGATAGTTTAGAATGTGATCATTATACCAGTAAGTTGCTACAATTTAGTTTCGTTTGTATGCAACAAATATTTGTATGCAGTTAAGATTCTAATTTAATCACCATATAAATTAACAGCACGATTTTTGTTTGTGCAACAGTTCTGTGAATTAAAGATGTACCCGATTGGCTATTCTGTCTGAAGTAACATTTATTTATCTATTAATTTTTCGTTCTACAATTTGTGTACTTTTGAAAATCCAAAAAGGTAAAATTGGCATTTTCATTACCAGTGTAATTCGAATAGCTGTTAACTTATATCATTATTATACCGTTGCAGGAGTCTTAAATACTCGAGTTGATCAAGAAATCGCTTTGAATGATGCCTGGATTATTTTGACAGATCAGGTCGTTAAAGGAACCTTTCAATTTACTATTTTATTAGATGATAATACTGTAAGTTAATAAATACTGAAATGTTTCACTTCATATTTTCAAAATTGGCTTGTTATTAAACGTACACATGTTGAATTTAGCAAACATTTGCAATAAATTCTTTAACGATTTCCAATTGTCGAGAGGTGTTCTTATTGGTCATTGGTTCATGATTTATTCTCTAATTTGAATCGACTATAATCCTCATATCGATCCATCTGAAGGAACTTTACCAAAATGACGTACATGTATGCTACGCGCTATCTGCTTTCAATACCTTATGCCTTGCCGAAGAATTTAGCTATAAACCATTTTCGGTGTATAATGTATATAGTTATTATTTCAGAAACAAGTTTTTAAAGCCTCTGACATTACATCTGATATTTTAAGAAATCCAAACAGGCAAGCATCAAGTAAGTACAGTTTAAAACTAAATGTGTATGCATTATTTGAATTTGATATATATTTTTATGATGTTGTATGGCGATGGAATATACATCGCAGTAAAGTAGCACAAGCTTTCTATCATGAAAATTCAATGGTTAAATTTGATTGCATTTACGGTGATTAAGAATTTAGAAATTGTTCAAAAATAAGTGTAAGGTGAAACCTCCAACCGAAGTTTTTTTTAAAGATTTACTTTCGTATTCCAGAAACGGCTTTACAACATTTTACCGGAAGTGCAAATAAGGAAGTCAAGGGTTTCGACGATTTGATTTTAACGGGGATGTCTGTAGACGATTGTGCTAATGAATGTTTAGGAGAGGTTATATTTACATGTCAATCATTTGAATATTGTTATGATACCGGATATTGCGTCATGAGTCAACAACATCCTGATGAAAGACCTGATCTGATACAAGCCAGTGATCACTGTGACCTGTATACAAGTAAGAGTTTTTTCAAATTTGAAATAATTATATGATATTATCTTACGAGAAGAAAGTAGGCATATACGTGTCCAAACTAAGTCGACAATTGTCAATAAGGTAGCAATTAGATGAGTCTGGTAGGTATCCCGCATAAAAATTGGAAACCCATGAAACATAAGCACCATTCGCCAGTCATCGCTTTCAAAATGCAGAATGAGCATCTCTGTTTTTTTTTTTCAGGACAATACACGGCCAAATTTACAGAAACACCAGGAGTGACAGTGCTCTCAGCTTCGGATACCATCTATCAAAATATTTTTACTGATAATCAATGTGCTAAACTATGTGTCGATTATTCAGAATTTGATTGTAAATCATTTGATTATTGTCCCAATATAAATACATGTTTCCTTGGTAAAAAAACATGTATTTGATGTACCAAAATCACAGATTAATAAAGATGTTAGATGCAATCATTATTCAAGTAAGTTATAGAATTTTTAACATGCCTACCAAAAGGAAATAATGTCGAGAGCTTTGTAAAGTCTGTACTGGAAATCGAGGTTTGGAGCCTTCTTGCATTTTCTGGCATTTATAGTATGGCAGATGCTTTTTACCAATCAATTAGTGTTACAAGATCTGGCCTTTGAGCCACAAAACATTTCTCATGCTCAGCTTAGTCTTTACTAAATTCATAATGTCCCTCGCATCAAGAGAATGTAAAATAATGTAATGTCATAGTGCAAGAAACATTGTGCAATAAGGAATAGATTGATATATTTTTTCTGTGACAGTTGTTTTAAATTTAAGTAAAATCTTACCAAAGTATGGTTAATTTTTGTATAGTTTTGTGATTTATGTCCATTTGTAGAAGAAAAAGACAATGGCGCAAAGTGCATATTCCGAAATTTTGAGGTTGTGCTTTTGGTTTATTTACAGGAAATTATGCCGATGACTTTAAAGTCAAAGCTAATAAACAGATATCATTGCGTGATAATAGAGTTATAGAAGGTATAAGTGCTGAACAATGTGCTAAATTGTGTGTTGAGGAAGAATCATTCTCATGTGCAAGTTTTGATTATTGTAGTAATATGACTAAATGTAGATTAAGCGATGCTGCAATGTCAGATGTAGGCCAAGTGACGGTCGAAACTTCAGCATATTGTGCTGTTTATCAACGTAAGTACCAAGTTTAGCTTTTTGAATAAAAATTTATTGGATATTTTGATTGATTTCTAATAACATGCAATGGAAATAAGAATCAAATTCACAAGAACACAACTTATGAATTTGGCATGTGATTGAATATAAAACTCATCAGTCCAATATTTGGACATGAGCTGCTCAAATAACATATTGTACTCTCAAATCACAATAAAATGCCTAATTTAATTTGTTCAATATATTTCAGGAATGTATTTCCCAGATGGATCATTATACACAAATACTAAATCTTCGGGTTATTCTGCTGGTAAGTGTTACAAAATATTGAGAGATGTTATGAATCAGATAGCCACTCGCTAAATCTAATGAAATAATTTTTCATGTTTGAGGAGATCAGAAAATTACATGTGTTTGAAATATACATCAAAATCAGTGTCTTATATAATTGTAGATCGATTCGAGGCTAGATATATCGTAACATAAATAAATTGAGGCTGTTCATGACAGTATACTGATTATAATTTTATATTGCAGGTGCTATGGGCGGACTTGGATTTGCTATGTTAGTAGTTGGTGCTGTACTTGCAATTGCAATATATTTCGGAATCGGGAAAATGCGAGGAAAGAGTTTCGATTCTATGACCATTTCATTTAAAAATATGGAAAACAGTGATTAGTTTGTTTGTATTGTCGTGATAATGAATCTTTTACTTTTGTAAATAAAATGTTTGAATAGAATATGTGAAAAAAGATAAATTTCATATTGCCAGAAAAAAAAGAGTGAAAAACTTATTGACAGTGGTCCACGGTCCGACGATTCCTTCCCTTTACTCACAATAATTCCCAATAATTCCCAATAATTATGACGGATCATAAACATGAGATCTTTGAGATCTCAAAGAAGGCTTTCACTCTGGAAACTGGGACTATGTTTAAATATTTTTGAAAGAAACAATTTTAACAAATCATAACTATATAAATAACAACAAGACATAAAATGTCAGATAACAAACAAGAAAAGCGGACATTCATGGCTTCTGTACAGTCAATTCTAAAACAATTCTGATTCAATCATAAGTAAATTCACTTTTTATATTATTATTAACAAATTATAACACGGAATGAATAAAAAAAATAACAAAAAATATCACAGATCACATAAAGGGTAACAAGAAATATTAAAGATTGAATAAATAATAACAAAAAATATCACAGATTGAATAAATGGTAACACCAAATATCACAGATTGAATAAATGGTAACAAGAAATATTACAGGTTGAATAAATGGTAACAAGAATTATCACAGATTGAATAAATGGTAACACCAAATATCACAGATTGCATAAATGGTAACACCAAATATCACAGATTGAATAAATGGTAACAAGAATTATCACAGATTTAATAAATGGAAACAAGAAATAACACAGATTGAATAGATAATAACAATACATATAACAGATTGAAAAAATAGTAACAAGAAATATCACATATTGAATAAATAGTAACAAGAAATAACACAGATTGAATAAATAGTAACAAAGAATATCGCAGAGTGAAGAAATAAGAACAAATTATATCACAGATGGAAAAAATGGTAATAAATTATATCACAGATGGAATAAATAATAACAGAAAATATCACAGATGGAATAAATAGTCACAGAAAATATCACAGATTGAATGATAAGTAACAAGAAAATATCACAGAAGTATACGTATTAACAATAAATATCACAGAAGAATAAGTAGTAACAATGAATATCACACAGTAAATAGATAGTAACCAGAAATATCACACATTGCATAAATAGTAACAATATATATCACAGATTGAATAAATAGTAACAGGAAATATCACAGATTGAATAAATAGTAACAGGAAATATCACAGATTGAATAAATAGTAACAGAAAATATAACAGATTGCATAAATAGTAGCAATAAATATCATGGATTGAATAAATGGTAACAGGAAATATCATGGATTTTATAAATAGTAACAATAAATATCACAGATGGAATAAATAGTCACAGAAAATATCACAGATTGAATGATTAGTAACAAGAAAATATCACAGATTAAATAAATTGTTATAATAATTATCACAGATAGAATGAATTATCACAGATTGAATAAATAGTAACAATAAATATCACAGGTTTAATAAATAGTAACAAGAAATATCACAGATTGAATAAATAGTAACAATAAATATCACAGATTGAATAAATAGTAACAATAAATATCACAGATTGAATAAATAGTAACAGGAGATATAACAGACTAAATAATAAGTAACAGGAAATATCACAGATTGAATAAATAGTAACAATAAATATCACAGATTGAATAAATAGTAACAATAAATATCACAGATTGAATAAATAGTAACAGGAAATATAACAGACTAAATAATAAGTAACAGGAAATATAACAGACTAAATAATAAGTAACAGGAAATATCACAGATTGAATAAATAGTAACAATAAATATCACAGTTTGAATAAATAGTAACAATAAATATCACAGATTGAATAAATAGTAACAATAAATATCACAGATTGAATAAATAGTAACAGGAAATATAACAGACTAAATAATAAGTAACAGGGAATATCACAGATTGAATAAATAGTAACAAAAAATATCACAGATTGAATAAATAGAAACAAGAAATATCACAGATTGAATAAATAGTAACAGGAAATTTTCACATATTGAATAAATAGTAACAAGAATTACCTTAAACTGAATAGATAATAACATATTTACACGAAAAATCACGGATCTGTTTAAATCAAAATTAGAAAATACAAATACAGCGTTACAATTCGCTCTCTTGAAAATGAAATGACATTCTCACAATCACTGAACATATTATTTTGTGTCTATGCTACAGGTTTCAACCCCTGTCACAGATCTAATTCCTCAAAGGTAATATTTTTGGTTTCCATTTTATATTATTTCTTACATCATCATATTTCATTTAAAACGTCAACAACAAATGCACAAGCTAACAATAGTAATTGTTATTAAATTGTAGTAATTAATTCTGTAAACATCCTCTTCCTATTGGTGTCTGTTGTTTTCTGTTATATTGATTTTATAACTTTCTTTGACTCTTCCTGATAATCATGGTACATTTTTTCTATCATATTGAGATGAGTTTTCTTGAGGACTTCAACAACAGACACTAAAACTTGTCGAGAGATCTGATATTTTATAGTGCAGTTGACAATAATATTAATCTTGTTAACAACTGCAGATTAAGAGATTATCTCAGATTAATGATTGATAGAAATAACAATATTATAATTGACAAGTGAAAACAACAAATGGTTGTCTAAACAATCATAGAAATTTGTCAATCAACGACAACAATCTGGTAACTATGTTTTTGTATTGCAACAAATGTTCTAAGATATATTTGAACAGATCTGAATTTTAATGATAATTCTATGCTACTATTCAAATTAACCGTTACATTTTATCCTAAATGAATCGACAACGAAATTTTATGTTTTTGTCTGTTAGATCAGTGATAGTACAAAATTACTTTTAAGTTACAGAAAATTCAAAACCAATATTAGTTACAATCGTTGAATATTTTAATTGTTCATTTATTTTGTACTTTCGTATTCTGTAAAAGACAAAAATTCAATCATTGATCTGAAGACATAAATACTCCTCAATGCATCATTATCTAATTAATGTAAATTCATTTAATCTATTTTTATCTTCAGTACATCAAAACGTATTATTGGAATAAATCAAACCCTAATCAAATATCAAACTAAGACCATAGTCAGACAATTTATAAATATTAATTAAATTAAATCTTCTCACACAGTTAAAACTCCTATCATTAACAAATAATTAGAAAATCTTTAATCATGATTGTCTTGTTTTACCGACAGAAAATCAACCAGTCGCCATGAATTTACCATTGATAAATGTAAGCATGCTGAGATCAAATGAATCTATTGAAATAATATAACGAGCGTAATGTCTTTATTTTGAAGGTTCTTTTATAGAAATACAAAAATATTTTCTTTAATAAAAACAAATATAGATTTAGATATTTAAATATTTTCCTTACAAACTACATGATATTTCCACAAAATATAAAAGTTTCCGAGAAAGGCCTAGTTTTGCACTTTACTGATAATATAATGCATAGATAAAGAAATTGTAAGATCCAATTATATGAACGATTATTTTCAAAGTCTAATGTCAATTGATGTCTGTAGCTGACAAAGATTGCCATGTAAGATAAAACAACAGATAACAAATTTACAATAAAAACACTCATCATATCAAGTTAAAACAATAACTCAAAGAACACAATCTTGTGTACAGTTTCCTCTTTATTAAATAATGATATGATATTAATAATAGCTTTATTCAGTGATAGACCCATAATACATTCATACAATATATAATAAATATGTATATAACTAGTGTAAAATAAATATATTGATAATTGATAACAAAGTTGTGAGGGGGACGAATAAACAACGATATTTAATTCTGATCAAGAGTTTCTTAATAGCAGAACTGCCTCTATATATTTGCCAACTGATAATAATTACGATCTATCTGTTGAGGTACATGTTTTGTGTAAAAGGTTTCCGTCATAGTAGTCTCAGATTTTCCCGAGAGAAAATGAATTCTTATATTATTTAAGTGTTTGCATGTGAACATGAAATGATAAGCAGTTTCGTTTCCACACTTACATAAAGGACATGTCGGGGGGGTCCTACAAATACCTCTCTTATAGAGGTTTTCTGACAGGGGTAGTAAATTTAAACGCAGACTGGTAATATTTCTTCTCAATTTAATACCTATATGACACGTCAAATAAAATTCCAGCCTTAATTCTAATTTTAAAAAATTGTACTCGGTGAAACTAGTGCGTGACATGACCTTAGCTGACCACTCCTGAATATGAATATTCTTACATTCCCAATGTTTTCAACATAAAACATTAAGGCGAAGCCAAGGGAAAATAACAGCATTCACTGATGAGTTACCTAAGTGGTCCGACTTATTTTGATTTTGATCTAAACTTTTTAATATCAAGTACACCTGTATTGGATAACGTTCAATTGGCATATTAACTAAGGTAAGCCAGTATTTCACACAGGATCTCTTTATTAAAACTTATATTTATCATAGTATGAATACATATTAACGCTTTTCTTATGCGGGATAACAATCTAAAACATGTACAGATATATTATACCATGGTGTTATTCAATATAAGGTTAATCATTATTTCAGCATATATCAGTAGAAATTGTTTTCGACTTTGTTTATTATCAATGATTGACATTTTTTTCTTGAATCGGTTAAGGCAACCTTTGTGGATTTTACTGGTCAATTGATAGTGTTATTGCCATTAATCAAAAAGCTGAAATAATCTCTTAATCTGTTTTTAATAAGCTTAACATTTATATCAACAAAACTATAAAATATCAGATTTTCTTGGTAGGTTTTAGTGTCTGTTGTTGAAGTCCTCAAGAAAACTCATCTCAATATGATAGAAAGAATGTACCATGATTATCAGGAAGAGTCAAAAAAAGTTATAAAATCAAGATAACAGAAAACAACAGTCACGTATAGGAAGAGGAGGAGGATGTTAACAGAATTTACAAGTTGTCTTATAGATACTATTATAGTGTATTTTACGTTATGAAAGACGATGACATGTTTTTTGCAATTCTGTG